TAGACGCCCACTGAGTATAATTTTAATTTTTACTTTTATCTTATAGGAAAATATATCTACTTCTAAGGTTCTATAGTTTTTGGAAAATTTCTTCCATATAATTCCATTTTTATTGGTAATTTTTTGCTGCCTCTTCCATCAGCTCGCTTGTAAGCATACCTCGGATGAGGAAGCCATCGGTATCCTTGCCAATGGTAATTAGAGTTGGATGTGCTACACCTGGGCTTCTTTCAAGTACCTGCGCTTCTCATGGAGAACAAATACGACGAGCTTTTTGGCTTTTGTTTTTTTTTATTGTTAGCCACACAGCTGGAGAACCAGACTATGGGTTAACATCCCAGACTATCTCATAAAGCTTCTTAGACTGTGACTTTGTTAAGTGGTAAAATGATGAGGTATAATTCAAGTGATAAAATGAGGTGTAACCCTCTTTCTCCTCTTCCCTACCCCGTTCCCTTTTCTAAGATTGCATGCGTACCATACTCATATAGGTAGCTCTTAGGTATCTCTTCTAACTCTTTGTAAGGAAACAATTCAAAATACCGTCTAAAAAAAGTCTTTGCTACACAAAACCAGAGGAAATCGTCTGCTGAGGGCAGGAAAAACTGCCCCCCCCCCCTCTTGCTGCACACGTTATTTCCCTTATCCATTGAACAAATTAATGAAAAATTTTGAAAGTTGTATGAATCGATTGATTGTAACCAGTGATTTTATGTAAAATTTTGCTGTCAAAATGTTTCAGGCCGTACAGTCACTACTGCACGGGATGGTCACTCTACAGATGATTGTCGCTGCATGTTTCGTATGCTTACTGGGAGCACTCATCTTCAGCATCCACATTTACTCGCATGTTTCCTCAATGAAACAGCAGTTTGATGACAGTAGAAAAGAATTTGAGGTATCGGCTTAAAGCCCAAGATTCCTGAAAGGGCAACTGGGTGGCGTACGAATCGTGATCGGAACGCTCTCCAGTAGTGTAACCGACAACCATTCCATTTTCCTTCTCCATTTCGCATTTGTTTTTTGACCAATGCTGCATCGCCTGGTGGTCAGTCTTCCGGTAATCCTGAGTGGATTATAGGCGTTCCTTCGCTACTGGCAGTTTCTCCATTCTTCTCTGTTTTGAGCTTCTCTCAACCACATAATTCCACACAGCAGTTCAAAAAAAAAAAAAGATTATTAGTTAAAAAACGAGTCTTAGCTAAATTAAGGAAAAACTATACTGAGGATTCTAATCTATAATAAATAAATGCAGAAAACAATCCAAATTTTATTTCGGTTAATTTAAGCGAGCAGAATAAAAATTCAAACGGATATCGCACTTCTAAATGTGAGACGTCAAATTTTTCTGTGTGGCTCCTTCCCTTCCTTTCCCGTCTTCGATTCCTATGCTTCTACTCTCTTCCCTCTTGTCTCCTGGTTTTTTGGGAGTGAGTGCGAAGCACACAACTGTTGTGTTTCAGTATACGGTGAATGATGCTTG